GGCTGTTTGGGGCTTACCATTTGCTGTCGGGGACTACTGCGTGTTGTCGGGGCCAATCGGGTGCTGCCTGGACGAACCAGCGACTGTTCGGGACTGTTCGCGGCCAGCCCGGGCCCGGCGAGTCGAGCCAGACGACCACCCAACATTCATCTTTTATTTTATTTACGCAACATGAATGTCCAGTCAAAGCCCCTTAAAGATGATTAGTATGATAGAGAAATGCTACGGTTCCGTTACGAAATCATTTCGTTGGGGTTTTTAACTACTAGATCATCATTTAACCGTCAGGGATAGTTGATTTAAGGTTACAAACGCTGACGAAATTGTTCTGTAACGAGACTGTAGCATCTCCCAATATGATAAACCATATATATAATTTAAAATTTCATTAATTATAAAAATTGTTTATAATTCAACTTATTCAAGTATTTTTTTTTCAAGTACTTTGTATGGTCTGTTACGAAATACTATATAGATTGACATATAAAATTACGGAACACTATCTATTAATATATAATCTATAGTAATATAAAAAGGTTGTTGGAAAAATACAAAAATAGTATGTTTGACTTGAAAATTAATGTTTTGACTTACTAATTTAAGTAACACCAATGGGCCCCACGCGTTAAAATTAAAATTAAGTAATAAATCTCTCATAGCAAAAATAGTTCGGATTTTCTTAACCAGTTCAGCTAATTCTGTGGGATTTTATAGAATCACAGTTTTAATAATTACTACAAAATCTTGAAGATCATAAATTTAATTAATAAATCTCTCATAGCAAAATTAGTTCAGATTTTCTTAACCAATTCAACGGATTCTGTGGGATTTTATATATTCACAATCTTAAAAATTACTACAAAATCTTAAAGATCATTAATTTAAGTAATAAATCTCTCATATCAAAATTAATTTGGATTTTCTTAACCAATTCAGCGGATTCTGTGGGATTTTATATATTCACAATTTTAATAATTACTACAAAATATTGAAGATAATGATCGAAATTGCCTTACCAAAGTTATAGGATTTTGGTAACTATATTGCTAGGATTTTGATTAATTTTATATATGAATTGTTGTTACC